GCCCGAGCGGCTCGTGGATCGCTACAGTACGAGCCTACTGGCCGAGCCGACGAGCCGCTCGGCTCGATTGCCATCACTATTGTGTCCTGGTTTACCACATTTTCGACATGTCTGGGTTTGGTCTACTCTCTTCCCTGTACTAGATATGCCTGTCGAAGTTGTCTTCGAAGGGATTTCCTTTTGTGTAGACATTCTGAAAGATCGAGCACGAGGCCAAGGTCGTTACAAAAGTTACAAAAACAATGCACGTTTTGTTGTAACGATCCAACCCCTATGCTCAAGCTATTATATCATTCGCATTGCCCACTTTGGGTGGGCCTATGCTGCTCAATTGATACAAGGATTCAATTTAAGTCTCTCATTAGACAGAGGTCTTAGGTTCGAATCATGGAGGATGCGATAGAAAGCCGTGAGGGGTAAATGGTCATAGGCTCACCCAAAGCGGATAGTACATATAATATAATTGTTTGTACATAGGGGCCAGGTCGTTACATTTCCCGCCAACAGTTAAAAGGGAAAATCATGCTCAGAGGTTACCTCTTCGAGCCATTTGGTAGAATTTTTTCAAAAAATCGCTTCGAGTTAAACAAGTGATCGAACTCTCGTGAAGATAGAGGACGATGGTAGATGTCCCCAATGTATGAACCCAATTAGTGGGGACTTATTTTTTGTGGAAGGAGACCTCACTTGGGGAGGATATGCTTCTCTACTTCTTTCAATCCATCTTCCAACCTTGGGTTCTAGGTAAAGGGGATTCCAAGGGTTGGTACTCCTTGTGTCTATGGGGAGCTCACTTCCCATTCGTCATATGCCTTCATTTGATGGAAGAAATTTGGTTTTGGGTAATGGGGCAATGCCAACCAGTTATTCTGAAGCTAATAAGTGTCTATTTTTTCAGTGTTTGTTTCTTAACTTTGAATTAGCTATAACCTGTTTACCATTGTTGTAGGGTCGTGGGTCGATTCGAAGTAACCTAATCAGAGTTGGGTATTATAGATGATGTTACGCCTCGCCACCGAGGCTCTTAGTGGAGGTCACAATGTAGTCTACGTAGAGACATTGAATCAAATTCGACAAAGTGACAGACTCAATTAGTCAAGATAAAGAAGCCAAAGAAGAAATTGATCTCCATTGTTCCGAGACTCTTATGAGGTCAAAGCCTTGTCTCTATCAGAAGTTCTCTTTGGCTGAAGAACCCTCGCCATCTGAAGCTCTCTTTTAGGCTGAAGCAATTGTTATCTTTTAAAGGATCCACAAGTAATATCTATGAATGATTGATGTAACGTTTATTTTAATAAATGTCGGGATTGTCGGCCTAGAGAGTAGGCCGGCGGTCAATGTATTAAATGCATTGCAAACGGAGTGATGTGAGACTTCGGCCTGGGAGATGAGATCACGTGGTTCTAATTCAACAGCTACCACGTCGGCCAGAATTTCATAAATAAGCAACTCTCGTAATTCGTTTAGGGAGAATGCAACTCTTTACACTCAAAAAACATTTTCAGCTTTCTCTCTTACTCATTCCATATTTATCTGCTTAATTTGGTGAAATTGTTTATGATTGTTTGTTTGCAATCATCTTTGTTCATATTGTCGGTGATTGAACATTTTTTGTCTCGTGTCATAAAGTATCTCTCTTCCATAAACGTCACCCTTCTCTGTATGGATCTCCGATCAAAATGTGTTAAAATTTGTTTGCGTTGACGCGGGTGAGCCTGACATCTCTAGCTTTAATGCAATCCAATAAAAAAAAAAATTTATATTTTTAGTTCAATATCTCATAGGAATTCAAATTTCTTGTTGTTTTCGAAGTGGCCAGCTATTGAAAATCAAAATCCTTAAGGATTACTAAGGATAATTAGGTTACTATTACATGAATTTTCTTAATAATTAATTTTCGATCGAAATTTTATCGTTTATGTATGTTTAATAGTTTATCATTTTTTCCACTTTAGTAGATTTTTGTTTGTTGCCTTGTTTTATTGATTTTTCTGTATTGTTAGGTTATAAGATTGACAAGTGATTTTGTACTCTATTTTCGTCTATTTTCAATCAAAAAGTAGTTTTATACTTTATTTTTATGACTTTTTTTAAATATAAAGAACAAGACCTGACTGAATCAAAATTAATTAGTTTGGTTTTGATTCAGTTTTCTAATTGGATATGGAACTAATGGTTTATTTTTAAGATTCCCATTGATAGTCGGTTCGATTCGATTCCCTTAAGAATCAAACCGAACAAGACCGCGTCCATTACTAATTTGTTATACTTCAAGAAGGAAATTTCCTCTTTTCTCCTTTAATGGGCTAAAACTTGGGTATTACGCTTGGGTTAATAATCTTATATGTGGGCCGAGCCCAATGGACTTGTTTCTTGGCTAGGCACGTCGCATTTAATGTACGAATATTCTAATGTGCTTAAGGAAATTTGGGGCATTATGCTACACATCCCAAATATGAAATACATCTTGTTGGAGAGTAACAATATCGTTAAAACTTAAACCCAGGAATTGTATCGCTCAAATAATGATAGTTGAATGTCATGAAAGTTAAATACTTTCTCCCATTACATCAATTGATTTTCAAATGAAGTGATTAAAATTCGATCATAAACATCATATCAAAGCATAAGTTTGATTCACTAATAAAGAAATTTGTCAACAAGGCTCTTAATTTTTTAAAGAACTCATCGACACTATTAGAAATTCAATAGACACATTGATAGTTATGTAACATGTCGATCTTCTTAAAAGTAACTATTAATTATATACACAATTGCTCGTCATTGTTACTCATATTTGTATAAAAAATACATATCCTTATTTTTACAATAATGGAAACAATTGCTATTAAAATACACCTCATATATTAGTTTTAACTAATAAATAGACTCAAATATCTGTACAAATTCTAGTGCGTGTTTGTTAGTATTTTTAAGTGTTTATAAGACGTGAATTTCACGCAGCGTGCGAGGATAAATGAATAGTAAATTATGAGTTTTACAGTATGTGGATAAAAAATATTTTCGAAAACTCTACCACAATGGAAGGAAAACCTTTACCACAATCAAAATGCCCTTTATATAACAATTGAATGTCCCAAAATGATGATTTCTTGTTTTTCGATTTTGCCCACCATCTACACATACGAATTTTGTTTGTATTTTTTTCTTGAGAGTACTAGCTTTAACATCCTACATTCATGTCACTATAGAATCCAGGGAGTTATTGGTTGATTATGAGCGGTTAAAAGTTATTTCGTAAATCAGAAAATAACTTCTCCCTCCAACCAATTTATTCTATATTTGGGTCGGGTCGGGTCGGATTGTGTCGGTTCGGGTCGGGTCACATGAACGACCTACCTATTTTTAACAATTTTGGTCATGTATCTATTTCAATGTCAAAACAAAATTGGATGTCTGGCTATACTCAATGAGAAACCCTAACATTAAAACTCCCCCAAAACTTGTACAAAACACAGAAAACCACCAATCTTAGACTATTCACACAATATCGTACAAACCAAATCACGTTAAAATTCTTAGGCCCTGTTCTCTTTGCTGTTTTTGGACCGTTTTCTGTTTTCGATTTTTCAAAACAATAAAAATGCGTTCTCTTTCTCGTTTTTGAAAATAAGTTTTTGAAAACATAAAAATAATTTCTACTAAAAACTCAAAACACCTAAAAAGCCGTTCTGAGCGTTTTCTTTCAAAAGAGGCGATTAAAATGAAAACACGCGAAACAACCCTGTCTTCTATGTCCCCAAAATTCTTCTTCTTCAGCTACCGATCTTCCATCAATAACTTCCATCGCCAGCCACCTAAGCCACCGGACCTCCAAACCACCGGCACCCCCTCATCTCCCTCTACAACCTCCGACCATCGCCTGCCCGCTGTCCGTCGAAAACAGCTCCAATTCCCATCCAAAATCGCGAGCGCAGTCACGGTTTCTCCCCAGTTATTTCTACATCCAGCTACCCTCTCGATTGTGGGGGACCACCACAACATCTCTCTCAACCAGGCGCATCTAGTTCTACCATGGGTCAGGCTCAATTTCATTCGGAATCGACTGCGCTTGTTGGAGCAATCCGTGAGGTTTGTGATATTCTTTTTTACCTTAAATTCTTTTTAAGCGTGTGGTTACCTAGAGTTCTTTGGTCATTGGGGAACTGCATTGATGAAGTTTGTGATTAATTTAAGTGGTGATTTCCTCATTTATAATTGGCGGTATTGATGAATTGCATTATTTCTCATAAATCCTTGGGTGTTGGACTGTTGCAATGGTTTGATCATTACAAGTTATTCCTGTATGATGTGGTGTTGGTGCCATGTTGCAATGGACTGTTGCAATGTTTTTGCGGTTCCCCAAGTCCGCTATTCTAAAAGCTGTGTGTTTTCTTATCTACTTTTTTAATTTTGTGGATGCATCTTTTGGTGATGTAGTATGAGATACATACGCGGACAAACTCAGAATCTTTTAGTGCACACATTATGATAAATCCTGCACATTCAGGTGCCTTATGTTTCTTGCACCTTTAGTTGTGGTCAGCCCTTGGTAGATTGGCAATGCTTTTTCATGGAGTTTTACTGCAAGCATCTTATATTTGTCTGCTTTGATCTTTTAGCAGGTGGAGTTTTGTACTTGGCATTGTGCTATTGCTGTTGGTAGCTTGGATGACTCTACTTGTTTTCAACTCTGCGTTGATAGTTGTACCCATTTCACTTGGGAGAACACTCTTCAATGCCCTTCCACTTCTTCCAGTAACCCATGGCATCAAGTGTAATGGTAATTGAATTTAAGTTGGCAGTTATGCCCTTATTTAAATTATACCATAGTCTTTACTTCTCCTTGACTTTCTTCTTTAGATTCTTATGCTTTCTTCATTGAAAGCTATGTTATTTGGACTGTCTTGGCAAGAGCAAAGTATTTTATTGACCGTATTCGGAAAAAGCAAACTAGTGTTTTGCTTGGCCAGATATGGAAATGGTGTGGCATCATTCTCAAGAGCTCTGCACTATTGTCAATATGGGTAAGAATGGGTAATCTCGGTTATTTTTGAATAATATTGCACTTGTTTTTAAAGTTGCGTTTTTTCTTATCTGCGTTTTTATTTCATAAATGTGATTGAATGTCTTGCTTGGTGCAATTTATGAAGAGCATGAGTTGCAATTTACCCTAAACATCTGTATGCTTGTATGATTAGTATATACATACTGGTTGCAGATTGGTTTTATTAGATTCATTTCCACGGATCAACTTGACAACTGGAGGATGAGGTGCGGGTTAGATAATCACAAAGTTTTGCTTTTACTATTGAGGCGGGTTGGATAATTGTGGGGGCGGTGAATTCGCAGGCGGTAGAGGTGAATTTATCGGTAGCTTTTAGTTGATGGAGATGGTGGTGAACTTGCAGGGGCACCGGGTAGTGAGCTGGGGACAAAGGTTGTATATTGGCCGGCGGTGGAGAAGGTCTTCCTATGAACGTTTGTGGAGAGAAGTAGGAATAATTGCTATCCAACTGACTTCAGTCCACCAATTCAATGTTATTAGCCCATCTTCATTCCCATCAAACTCATCAAAATCAATCAAACCATCTCCATTAGCATGAACTATACCAAACCTTCTGTTGCTATACCTGCCCACAGCTTTCTAGTTCGCTCTTACTGAATGGAATTTGAATTCTACAACTTGTTTTGCTAGGTTAGTAGTGAATATTACAGTTGTTAATGTTAAGATCATAAAGTTATCTGTCATACTCATTCTGCTCAGCAACGGTTTGCAATCATTTTCCGTGTGAGTTCCTTCTTAGCTATAATTTGATGCATTGTCTGCTTCAAGTTTCATTCTTTTTTTTATTATGTGATCATTTCTTTAGTAGATATCATAATATCATATTAATTACTGACTTTATTCCTCTTCTCTACAAAGCCAACACACAACAGCCAACGCTCTTTGTTGGAATGATTCTTATTCTCATTTTTTGCCGAAGCTTTGGCTCTTTATGGTCTTATTGTCGGCATTATTCTCTCTTCTCGTGCTGGTCAGTCAAGAGCAGCCTAGACGCGGGCATTTAGCTCGAGATTGCTGTTTGTTTCTTTGTATGAAATGGTTGTTGGACTACGGCAGAGTTTCTTAGTTTTGAGCTTTATGTGTGTGTGGCAATTTCCAGGCCATAAGTTAGCTATTGATATGTACTGATGGTAAATGTAGATGGATTCTAGTTCTCCCCCCTTAATAAATTTGTTTTTGAGTACTATATATAATGTGGTATCTTGCTAGAACCAGATTGGATTTGTGAAACCATTATTTGTATTGTCATTATTTTCCTTTAACGACTTCAATCCACAAGTGGAATTTATTGGGCATATGCTTAAAATTAAGTCATTTTTTTCGAACATGTTTCTTCAAGTTACTTTTTTTACCGACAAAACTTGCTAGAAGAGTAACTTTATATCACAATAAAAAATACTTTTTAGTGGTGAAAAACATATTTCTTAACTTTCAAAATATTTATTAACGCATCAACATGAGATTAGTGCTCCCTTTTTTGCAACTTAATTAGGTTTGGTTGTGACTTGAAGCTAGTTAATACTTGTCACAAGTTACGTACAAGTAGAAAAATAAGGATTTGTCAAATTTAATTTAGGTTGTGTTTTTTATATATGGAAAAGAATATTTTAAGATTAACCAACTTCAAAATTTATATGTTATTTAATACTATATTCATATTTAACTATTAAAATTTATTGAATAAAAAATTATAAAAAAAGATTCTCAAAATCTCAAAGTAAACGCGTTTTCAAGTTTTCTATTTTGAGAAACGGTTTTTCAGAATGAGAAAGAGAACGAGTTTTCAGCAATTCCAAAACAGACACTCAAAACAGAAACCACAAAATGAATTCAAAACTCAAAACACAAAACTGAAACACGAAGAGAACAGCACCTTAGTTTTAGGGATTACAAGATCAATAATCAAAGAACCCTTACTCAAGAGAGAAGAAAAGAGGAAGGGACGATGGATAAGAGATTGAAAAGCAGTTCTTGTAACTCCTCGACGATGGTTGAGTGTACGCATATATTAGAAGCATCTGGAGAGTCACAATCCAACGACCTAAATGTCTACATTTTAATTAAGGCATGAGATGAGTTTATAAAGTGTATTATTCAACTAACCATAGTTGTAACAAATTCGACACTTAAAAAAAAATTTACTCATGTAAGCCTAAAACATTTTATTTTAATTAAAGTTGAAAATAAGTAAATTACTTATCTTAAAACGAATTCTTATTTTACTAATGTAATATATAACTTTTTATTTATAAGGTAAGGACAAGATCACTTAGGCCATGTCTGAAATGCATTATTTTCTAGGGAAGTTGGTAACCCTTTTTTCCTTTTTCAACAAATTAGGTGTTTGATAAGATAAATTTTCTAGTGAATTGGTTTTCCTATAAGCACCCTCACGCGCCCATTTTCTAGGGAATTGGTAAATTGGTTTTCTTGTCTTTTTTGTGGTAAGAGTTTTTCCAGCTTTTTTTTCTTTTCTTTTTTTTTTTTTTTT